CTGAATTAATTTCTTTTGTTCCAATTCATCAGCCCCACCTCTTCCCTGCTGATATCAAAACCCTCCCCGGCTTTAAGACACTTGACCTAGTTTCAAGATACATCATGTGACCAGGTACGAGGTAATCGATTGGCTAGTTACCTCATGAATAATTAATGAGTATGAGAAATTCTTATCATAACCGTCCACTATGCGGCTACCATAACAGGCAACTAGAATGTTAAGCCTGCAATTAGAATTCAAATCTATCATAACTTTATTCGTTCTTTGCTTCCAGTTTTGCATATGCATTTAATATGATCAAATCATGTCTGTCCAACATTTTCTATCTAGCATAAAAATTCAACTTTTAAAACAACTGGGACTGGAACCTCTATTGAGGTTACTCCATATATTCTACTTTAAAAGTAACTACCTTTAGATTTTTTGAAGTATGGTGTAACGTTTTCAGATTGCAAACGACATGTAAATCCCATGAGGAATATCCATTTTTTTCCCTTAAGGTTTGAAAAAATACATTATATTATAGATTCACTCAGTCACGATATCTTCCATGGTGCCCAGTTTACCTCTTTACACAAAAACAAGACATTCAATCAAGGGTACGGTGGTATCCTCAAGTGAATGTCTTACTCTTGTCCTGAGGTTATGGAAGATGGTCAGATAAGAAAAATCATTCCGATTCGAGTTTGGACTTAATAAAACAGTGCAAGAGCTTGAAAACGTCTAGCAAAAACTCGAGATAAAACTATATGTGCTCTGATAGGGAAAAACATCACCCTAAAGCACACGTATTCAAGTTCCCGCTTTGCTTCAAATTAGTAATGCTTAACACTATTTTTAAATGCGTGTGATTACTTTTATTTCTTAATTTAAATATTGAGAATAGTTAATTTTAAATTAATCTAATATTTTAGAATATAGCGGTGAATCTTTATATTAGAAATTCGCTGGCTTTTTGTGATTAATTTTAAAATAGAAAATGAACTGCGCATGTACGGAAAACATAGAAAGCAAAAGGTTCAAATATATCATCAAATCAGCATATCTGGATAAAACGTTTTTATTTTTTACGAATCTACGGTGATACGTGTCTACGTGTTTACTATATTTTCCCACACACTTCCGAACATGCGCATTATGGTTCTCACCAAAACCTACTTTCATACTCCAAATTAAAATATGACCAGCATTTTGATGAGCTATTGTTCTGGACTGAATAGTCTTTCATACACGAGAAAAGGCGTTTATTTTTACACGTGAACACGAGGCTAATCAGTCCAGAACAATATATTCATTCAAAATTGGTCAATCGCTTCGGTGTATGAATTTGGTAAATTCGACTTTAAGTTAATCTAACATAAATATAACATCAAACATTTCCCAAGACCCACTCTACGAGTGTGCGACGTTAAATTAGTTTTGAAACAAAGCGTTCCCACTTTCGTTTAACGTATACTTTGTTTACGATCTTATTTGGCATACTAATATCACGTGACTCGCCACGACCTCACGTTAAGATGGTCTGTAAGAGTGGTACAAATCTCACCCAACTATATTGTATGCTTCTCTTTTGATTTCATATTTTTTCTTTTTTCATTTCGTCAGCTATCATATCCTGTACTACTGTAACCGACAGTTTAGACCCCCGTCCCCTTCGTCGTTATCAGATAAATGCCAGACGCTAACAATAAAATGACTTTTTATCCTAGATAGTAGCAGCAAGATTTGATGAATTTTGAAGTGCAAGAGCATTATACCCTTCCAGGACCACCTCTTCTGTTAATGTAACTAAGTATTCATACTTGAGAAAGTTTTCGACGAATTCATCGCCTCCAACTACACTACCGTGAGACTGACTGCGTGCAATCATAATAACAGCATGAGCTCGTTCGGTTTCCAGCCAATCACTGGCCGATGATTCAAGACAGCTTTCGTCTAGATCCTCTGGTCCCCATAGATACGCTTGCAGCAGCTTTAAGGCTTCATCAGGGAGCATGCGCATCTGTGGGTCACGCTGTAAGAGGCCTGAGGCGAGAGCAGCTAGGCCCCTAGTGAATCGTGACGCTTCTGTTAACATCGGTAAATCGTGGATGGTGTAATCTCGAGTTAATAGACTCGAATCTGCAGCAAAAGGATTATTTTCGTGCAAAAGCTCGTATATCAAACAACCAACAGCGAACACGTCGCACTTCTCATAGTTCATCAATTTACCACAGTTATAAGCCTTATGGATTTCCGGGGGGATCCTACACGGGTCACGGCCGATGTGTCCAACACTATCAATATGATATTCAAATCTTGATGATGAATTGTCTCCCCCAGAATTCTGAAGGACGTGACTAAAGTTTGATAAAACAAGATGGCCATGGTCGAGAAGAAGTAAGCTATTTAATCTAATATCTCGATGAACGATCCCTTCTTTGTGTAAATGAACGAGAGCACTGAACAACTGAAGTAGTAAAATACAAACTTTTCTTTCATATTCATCCGGAAGCTCCAGGTGCTCTTCTTTAGTGCGTTCCACAAATTCTAAAACGGATTCCACTGGAACTTGATCTGTGATGGTGACCAGGGTCTCAAAGTCGGATGCATTTTTGACGCCAAACACCTCCCCTTGTAAGTAGTCAGTAAAGTGGGTGATGGTGCGAGAAACATTAGGATGGGATGGGAGTGACACCGTAACAGCCATGTCCTGCATGTATGCTGTACGCTGCGACATGTCTTCTGTCACAGACTTGGGAAATTTAACCTAAAGCAGTACAAAATTAAAAGTGAGTAACATTGATGAAGCATGAAACAATGAAGCATTGGAACGGTGCATGAAAAGTGGAATAGTTCCCTTTCATTTGGGTGCTTGTTTTGCCCATTTCAGACCACGTCCCACACTTCTTTGAGAATAGGATTCTTTGTTTCATTAGCATTCAAACAAAGAAATGATACTCAAGGGAACGACACGTGAGCTAAAGTGGGCAGAACAAACGCCCAAGCAAAACATGTCTATCTATTAATGCAAAGTATGTGTAATCTAGGAACGTTTTGCTTGGTATAAAGTCAACTCAAGAAACCTTGTCGTCAACTAACTCAAGCCTACGCGACTTGACCGTTAAGGACTATCGGAACAATCCCTTTATGCATTACTACATATTAAAACACACTGCACTGACTTGTAAAACATGTTTAGTTTTAAACTGACTTGTGAAAGAGAGTTCTTATTACGAATCATAAAATTCGAATAAAGACATAAGGAGCCGTCTCCATCGGTCACTAGGAATATTTCTCCTCGCTGGAGGTGCACAGAAAATGAGTGTTTGCAAGTCAATGAGTGTTCGCAAGTCAAGGAGTGTTCGCAAGTCAAGGAGTGTTCGCAAGTCAAGGAGTGTTCGCAAGTCAAGGAGTGTTCGCAAGTCAAGGAGTG